TTCTATTTATATTATCGACTTATTTTAATATAAAATAATCGGTCTCATTATTTTAAAACACCTATCTACTCTAATACTCTATTTTCTAGGTTCTTATATTCTCTTCGACAACAAAAATTTTCATTCTCGAAAATTCATTCATCAAATAGAAGTAACAACCTATTTTCCTTTCATTCTCTATCATAACCATCCATTTGACAAAGATATTACTCCCCAACAACTTTACTAACATGAAAAGAATTGTCTCTGTGCTAAAATACTCTAATGTTCAATAATGTAAATTGATCTAGCCACTACTCTCAACACAAATTCTCAACCTCCAAACTTCAACTCTTACGGATCTTTCTGACACATATCCAACCATATTGTGTCTACCACACTGATAACCCTTTATCTACCTTCCACTGCCTCTGGTAAAACTCTTTTAAAACTTCTGCTAACCTTGATTGTATATCAACCCTTGATCAATATTCTTTCACCTTCTCTTGTTTCCTTGAAGAAACACCATACTACTGACTTGATCATCACAACTTCTAGTTTGCTACCAACCATTAACATTCTTGATCGTCTTTAAACAGAACCATTATGATGAAAACTTCACCTTCCTCTACTGCTTTTCACCCTTGAATAACATAATTTCCAACTATGTTATTCCATTATCAAACTAGAACTCTTATCCATTACAATGAGAAAACCAACTTGAGGACTTCATCTTCACTTTTTCACTAGTTAACTTGAACCGCCTGCATTTCTTGACCCACTAGCCTGTACACATGCTTAGTTCCTACTTCTTTTCGACTTGAAATCACTAGCTTGATTAGTATTTAGCCACCTATTTATACCTCTCAAATTAGGATTGTCTAAACTACTCATTTCTAAAACATTTTGAGAAACCCATTAGTTATAGTCTATCAACTATACTAATGAAATCTCCTTATAACTTCACCTCAGACTCCAATCTTCATACTCTTCGACTAANTTATCCATAAGTTAATTTATAATGGCTCTTTCATATTAACTTCTCCAAAATCAGAGTTTTAACTTACGCATAAGATAGTTTGAACTACCGCAACTTATTTCTTTTTGTTCTTTTTATTTTCCTCTTCTGTAAGTGGTTACAGAGATCTACTTAAGCAGGCCCATAGTCATAAATGCACGAAGAGTAGTGTAGTTGGCATCCTCAAATTGATATTTTAAATTTATGTGTGGTTGGTGTCTTGTGGTTGAGAGATGCCACATGATGTATCGTGACAATGTGCATTCTAATTTGTGTTTGTTTCTCCCAATAAAGCATTCTTTATTTGCTTGCCCTACTCAGTTCTGCTGTTTATGGAAAATGGATTTTTGTGTTTTGTGATTTGCATCTCAAGCAGCCATGCAGTGGTTGATTCGATGATGCTTTGCTAGTGTGAACTTGGTGACACATTATACCCTTTGCAACCCTTCTTGCTTGCTGTAAGATATGATGTTTATCACTTGTTTATTCATCTTTCCATTCACTTTCAACTGTGAATTTCTAAATGGTAATCTAAGCTACTTGCTAATTTTGATTTTCTTATGCTGTTTGCATGTTTTGTTGACTCTGATGGAAACATTTATATTTGAATTGTGAACTGGTAAATGAAAGACTAGGAGTTGTTGATCTGAATGCACCATTTACATGTATAACAGATTATCTGGCTATATCCATCAGAGCTTTGAACATTTGGGAGTTTGATTGTAGCTAAAAGAAGCATGGAAGGCACTAAGGGTGATGAAGGATCCATTACCGTAGGAACCACTGGAACAATCAGCTTATTGATGACAAAGGAATTGGATCAGATGTCTGGTGTTCCACAGCAGGATCTATCTTCAACAAGTAAACCTCGAATTTCAGTTTCAAGTGGTAGTGCTACGCCGAAACGACCACAACCAAGAAAATCATTTGAAGCCAGTAGTAGTAGTAGTAGTACTAGTAGTAATGTTACAAACCATATAAGCTCAGGGATTGGCCCCAAAACAAAACATAATGGCAAACATACCCATCAACTACCCATGCTTGGTTCCCACACCCTTCCATTGGAGGCAAGTCCAGTTATGAAGAAAAAGGATAAGAAGAAAAAATCTAAATTTGTGGAAGTTGTGGACATCAAGTGTGGTTATGCAGATAAAGCTTGGGCCACACCTATCACAAATTCTCTCAAGAAGTTGGGTTTCTCAAAGCTCTCTGAGAGCATTACCTAAAGCTGGAATTGTATGTCAGACTTCAGGTTCTTGTAGCTGAAAGCAGAAATTACATTTGGCTTACTACTGTCTATTATATCGACCATAGAACACATGCTTGGCAAGAGCTTGCTACTTCCTCGCTTTTTCTTTCTTGTTTCTACTCTGGATACAGTTGAGGGTCTGGAATCAGTGCTAACTGAGGAACCCATGTTGATGGTTTGAGATTTGTTGTTCTGTGACCAGCCATTGGAATTTAGTTCANCCAACTATGTTATTCCATTATCAAACTAGAACTCTTATCCATTACAATGAGAAAACCAACTTGAGGACTTCATCTTCACTTTTTCACTAGTTAACTTGAACCGCCTGCATTTCTTGACCCACTAGCCTGTACACATGCTTAGTTCCTACTTCTTTTCGACTTGAAATCACTAGCTTGATTAGTATTTAGCCACCTATTTATACCTCTCAAATTAGGATTGTCTAAACTACTCATTTCTAAAACATTTTGAGAAACCCATTAGTTATAGTCTATCAACTATACTAATGAAATCTCCTTATAACTTCACCTCAGACTCCAATCTTCATACTCTTCGACTAACTCTTACACCATACTTATCAAACTAAGAACTTGAATCTCCCATTTGTTCTAATCATCTGTTAACATTTCCTCACTCAATATTTTCACCACACTTGAAACCAAAACGTAGCTCATTTTCTTCATCTCGTGACCTATCTTCCTTGTTCTACATCCTATATCACTTTACCACTTCAAAGTTGACCCTGCAGCTTGAAACCATAGACTCACTTTATCATTTCTATCGCATACTTATTTTCCCCATAAATAAACTCACTTCTGGCTTTTGAAGACCATTGAACATTCCCAATCCATCCTCAAATAACAACATGCCCACTACCATCCGCTGCGCTACTCTGATTCCCATACTTCCTTACTCATCGGTTTACTGAAAAGAACACCCTCTTCATATCAGTCTTAACCTGAAAATTTAACCTTTGAAGAACCTTCTTCAAACTTCTACGATTTTACAAAACTTTGAGAACCATTCTCTTTCTCGATAACCTTGTCATTCTGTTTCCTCAAAACTGTTTCTGTTCTTAGAAAACATACATGCCCCAAGCCATTCCTAACTGCCAAAACTTTTACTACACTGTTCCAACCTACCCTTTCCTTCTCTTCCAAGATCCAAAAATCTTGTAGTCTTTTCCCTAATAAATGCACCGAGTCCAAAACACTATTGCTCTAACCAAACCTCTACCTTTCTTTTGTACTCCACTACTCTAATGCCAAAAATCTTAGTACTTGTTGCATAACCTCTATAGATATCATTCCATAACGAAATCTAGTCTTCTCTTCCTCATCTGTCCTTGTTAAACTCTTTTGATTCTCACAACACTTGCCTTCACTTTCTAACTTGGTCCATGCTTGGAGTATAACCAATGACTTTTCCTCTTGAAACATGAAACTTCTCCTGAAGACCATAACCACTCTGGTGATCACACTCTAACTTACAAGAGAACAACGTCCTCCTTGCTTCACTTGCGTTTTTCAGACATCCTTTTCTTAACCCACATTTGATGCACCACCCCCGTTTTCCTTCTCTCAAAATAAGAAACACTTATTGAAGACCAAGATTTACTAGAACCAAGTTAAGAGACGATTAAGCCTCTCAAAATGTTAAGCTCCAACTTGCTAAAAATCATTTCATAACAACTTCAAATTTGATCCCTTTGATCTCGACATGTGTTACTCAACTTACAAATCTTCATGTAGCCCCCACTACCACAACCTTACTACTTAACAAAAGACCTTTTTCAAGAATAAGCATCTTCAACTCAAAATCCTCAAGAACAAAAACCCTGCCTCTGAACCGCAAAACCTCAGAATACCATTATCCTTCAACACAAACTCTTTGGCCTGATCTAAACCCATAAACCCACCGTCTTCTGTAACCCAACATCCAACCACTACTTCTCTCTTGATCAACTCAACCAATCATTCAACACTACTCCAAAACCACACTTGATGAAAACTGACTTCAACTCAATCTGCAACCTCATATCTATAAACATCTCAGCCAACCCAAAATCCTTGATCATTCTCTATACCTTTTTCATCAGCTTACATTGCAGACATCATTTTCTCTATTTCCAAGACCTTTCTTCTTCATCCTCATACATAGTGCCCTTAATTCTCTAGCCTTATCTTTTTATTATTAAATTAACTTTTTGATGTGATTCTTCCTTCGGTGCTTGAAGTCTACCACCTCCATCCAAGGTCAAACCTAACTTTTATGCGAACCATTGATCTTGAAATATCCTTCTAAACTTGACTCTGAATCATCCACTTGTTAAGAAAAACTTAACCATTTCCTTCTGATTATCTATTTAACCTAAGTCCCTTGCAATGCTTCATTCTTCTCTAAATACTTCATGTTCTCTCAGCTTGGAAATTCTGTCTTCTACTAAACTCTCCCCTAATCTGCTTTATGCCTTATACAACTGTTTCTCCAACCCTCCTTCTTCTACTTCCTTTCTAGATATCTATTTCTCTTGGTCCTTTTCAGAATTCTTATTCATTTCTTAACTTAGGCTTCAAACCTTTCACCACTTATCTTCTTTAGACCTCAAACACTGATATACCAACCCATGTTGCCTTCTCAACCATTGCTACTCCATTACTCACTAACACCTTCCTTTTTCTGACCTCTGACGTTATTGACACATAGAACCAACTGATTCCTCAAACCTTGCTACATCAATGTTTATCAAACTCCTCTTGGAAAAACTTGTGATTTCTACTCCCCTAATTCGGTTCTTGAGACAAAAGTGATGCTTCTACCTCCTCATATCTTAAACCATCCTTCGAAACTCAGAAACTCTGGTCCTCTAACTCCTTATCCTCGAGGCAAGAATTTGTCTCAAAGGCTTTAACCAATTATACTAAAGGTATACAGACCAAGTTACCTTAAATATGCATTCTTCTATCACTATATAGCATAAAACACTAACACAAAGGCAAGAACAAGATAGGAAACACTATTGAAAACCAAACTTGACTTATAACTCTTTATTTTCCCAACACCTTCAGGATTAAGAAATGAAAATCGTCTCTGATTTATTCATGAGTGTGCACCCTCATTACTATTATCAAGACATTTCCTATTCTTAAAACTTCCAATTAGATACACATCTCTTCTATCTAAACTTGGAGAGCATGGTAAAATATACCCATTTAGACTCAACTCCTCATAGGAAAATACGACAAACCCACAACTCACAGGTCATCCTAAGGACGAATACCATTAATTGTAATTAGACTTAATTCCTAATTTGGTCTTATTTTAAAAAAGATTAAAACTTAATTAAGTCAAAATTTTAAATATAAGAATTGAATTAAATATAAAATATTATTAACACTTGAATCCTTGACATTTATAAAAAAATGTCATCGTCCATCTAACCATAATCAACTAATTGAATTATTTTAACAAAAATTAAGATTTAATTAAAAAATATAGATAAAATAACGAATTGAATTATTCAAACAAAAATTAGGACCAAAGTGTAGTCGTTAGGAATTCAAGTGTAAAATTAAGTTCTTCAAAAGAGATAGTGGATAAAAAAAAAGAGAAGAAAAACTCATAAACTTAGCTTCATAGGAGATAATATTGTATTATCTTACATAGATTTACTCATAACTTGTATCAAATATTGCGTTTTTTGTCTGTATTTCTCATTTCTTTGAATAACACGTCTCTCCTTTTCTTGTCTTATTGTAAGAAAGGATGGAGTTTTGCTTTAGAAACACTTTAAAATTATGATAAATGAAATCTTGAATGTGTATTTAATGAAATAATATTATAATAATATTTTAATATGTATTTGAGAGTGGAACTGAATTAAGTAGCTAACTGTTTTGTTGTGATTAGTGTGATATCAACTAATAATATTAGCAGAGCAAGAGGTTCATATCTCCGTAGAAAAATCATATCAAAATAGTTTGAATATGAACATTTGTATTGAAAAATAACCCCGCGGCGCCTACACTGATTATTGTCAAACCAACAACAGTGGATCCGACAAACTCCAATGTAGAGACACTCAAAAGTTTGTCTTAAAATTGGATTTAGATATGATTTTGTCTCTTTCGATGTTTTCCCTTGGGGAAAAAAATAACCATTTTGGCTGTAAACCATTTTGTCCTAATTTTCCCTATAAACCAAAGTTTCATTTCCTCATATTCCAATCTGCAAAAGGATTAGCTTTTACTTTCCCCCTTCTTTTTACGTGAGAAAATCTCAGCTGGGTCAGTTTCAAATTTTCGAATTCGAAACTTGAGGA